TCAGTTTTACCAACAGAACTCAATAATTTTGTCATATTACACAATCCATATCAAACGTGTGTGTAGTTCTAACGTAGAATCATACTGAACAATTCCAATAAACTTGTCATAGTACACAACTTCAAGAGAATGAGAAGGGGCTGTGTAGAAGGGCTGGGAGATGGTTCAGTGGATAAGGTTCAGATAAACGTGCCCTCCAACAAGCCTGACAGCCTGAGTTCAGCCCCTGGGACCCACCGTACAGAGCCAGATATAGTGGCTCACACCTGTAATCCCAGTACTCCTAGGGTGAGATGGGAGGAAGAGACAAGAGAACCCTCAGGAAGTTTGCTAAACACAACTGCACAAACAAGAGGTCTTGCCTCAAGAAAGCTAACTAACTCTGTTGCGGGATATTTGATCACACTGTGTGAAGATGTACCGCTGTTTTACCCCCGCCTGTCTAAGGCACCTTCTGAATGGTTTAATAAAGAGCTGAATGGCCAATAGTTAGGCAGGAGAGGATAGTCGGGACTTCCAGGGGAAGAATCTGAGGGGGGCTGATTTGCCAGCAACCAGCAAGATGCACAGAAGTCAGATGTAAAGAATTGAGGAAAGGTAATGAGCCACATGGCGAATGCAGATGAATATAAATGGGCTAATCTAAGCTTTAAGAGCTAGTTGGGAATGAGCCTAAGCTAAGGCCAAGCTTTCATAATTAATAAAAAGTAGAGACTTTTGCCATTTGGGAGCTGCCAGTCCAAACAAAGACCTGTTACACTACTCCTGGAAAAGTTGTCCTCTAATCTCCATACATGCATGTATGTGCTCACCCTATCCATGGTAAAACAAAATGAAAACAATAAAGAAAAAGTAAGTTAGGTGAAAAAATGACTGTCCATCCAGATAATTTCATTATAGCGTGCTTAAAGTGTTGGTCATTTTATCATTAAGATTAAGGATGCTACAACTTTCTTATAGGAATAAAAAAAACTTTCCCAGAATGCAGTGCTATATTTTATACAAATCGATGTGTGTAGATTTACATATTTATTTATGGGAAGTGAGTATGCCTACATGTATATATGCATACACACAGAAGCACATGTCTGTTAGTTCTATGAAACACAGGCTCTGGTGATGACAACACCAATTATTCGGGTTTACACAGGTCGACAAGAAGCTCTCTTCCCTTTGTTAGAACTTAAGTAGATGACACAGTATTAACAGAAGTGCGATGGTCATGTGGACGGACAGAAATATTCTACAAGGACTATAAGTGCCTGGGCATTCTCTAGGCAGCACTGACAGTCATTCTCTTGCCCGAGGCTTGGCTTCCATCAGATGTAACAGTTCCATTTCTGGGATGACAGTGACAGGTGCCAGTTTCTGTCAGGAGATCTATGTATGCAGACCATCATCTCCCCCAGAGTCTTGGTGGGGTAATTTTAGTCATCCTTTTTAAGTGAAGTTATTTATTGCCTGAAAAGTATCATCTACCTATAAGTGAACCATCCATCCCTCAAAAGATTAACAGGCTGCCCAGGCCTAAAAGTTTGGCTGGGGTGGAATAAAAATTAAAACACCAAAAAAACCATCATATTCCTGAAAATGATATCAGTATGATTGTACTTGCTCTGCTCATCTCTGAACAGCCTTGACTGTGGCTAAAAACCATGCAGACACCCCATCAAAATGTCAGAGAGTGGCATAAACAGGTTAACCTTTATTCGAGGTTAACACATATGTTAAGCAGCTATTCTGTGGAGAGAGCATTGTTAGAATCTAGGTTTCTCTGGATCCAAAGACCATTCTCTCTCTCCTGACATCAGAAGGCCTTCTTATGCAATCAGAGCCAGCTGCACTGGAATGATGCACTTGACTCACAGAGGACCCCTGCAGACCCATATTTAAAGTTTATTGATGAGCAATTCCAGTAAGTCTGCACATGGCCTTACAATCCCCTTCAAACAAACAACTCGTGGGGGAGAGGATGGCTTCTGCAGAGAAACTAAAGAAAAACTCGGTGAAGACAAAAAGACACATGAGTGATGGGTGGGCACATCCAGGTCAATGAGAGATGCGCTGAGCCTCTGTTCTAGTGAGGAGCCTAATGATCCCCACAAAATCCACTGTATCTGTTTAGTGACGGGTGTTCAGAATGACTTTGTACAATGGGCTCCCTACAAGAAGACAGGGATATAACGGTTAGACTAAATCCATCTTGTTGGCTTTTACACTCTCAGAAAGAGAGACCTAAGTCATAGCAAGCATTCCACTCTTCTAGGAGGCTGGGTCTGGGACAGTGTTAGATTTTCTTATTTTTACTTTTTGACCTTCCAATCTACAGAAGATCACGACTTGTTCTTAGAAACAAGTTCTGCTATTTTAAAATGGACGAAGCATAACATTCTACCTAAGTCAACATCTGCTTAAAATGTCCTTCTTGTCGCCTCTCACCAGATGACCTTAAAACAAGGAAGGCAATGTGATGCAGTCCAATGATGTGACAATGATACCCATCCATGCTCTTTGGAAAAGAAATCTGTCTTCTCTCTTTTTTGCTTTCCTCCTACATCGTGATTAAGGTCAATGAAAAGAGCTGATGAGTTTCCAAAACACACTTTGGGCTGTTTTCTGAGTGCAGCAAAGGAGGGTGGGTAAATGTCCACTCTTTTTACTCCTTCCATAGGAACTAAGCTAGATTTTGGAGTGGCCAGAACTTGCTGGCTTTCCTTTTTGGTCCTCTCCTTATATGCTCTACTCCTTTTTGTAGTGAAAGTCCAGCTTAAAAAACTGTTCCATTTTCCAAGGGCCAGTGGCTCATCCAGTTGGGGACCAGGCAGTGAGACAAACTGATTCACTGGCTGGCCATATCTGGGTCTGTTTTAGCCTGTGTTATGGGAACTCTGCCCTTACTACCCTTTTTTCACAGAGCATTAGTGACACCCTGTCACTCAACTCTGGGTAGGACACACTGACAGACAGCTCAGTTTAGGTGAAAGAACTCTCTACAGGGTGCAGACTTGGACATTTTCAAAGGCCTTTGAATGCAGAATCCCAGTTTTTCTCCTTTGGATCACGACTTTCCTTGTGGGATCTTTTAGGAGGCACAGCTGAGGGAGGGATGAAGCTTGTCATCAGCATGGCACCATGATGACATGATGTCATAAACATGACACCCTGTGGTATTTACCTTTCACATTATTAAGAGGATTAAATAATACAACCTATGGACAATTACATTTAGTGTCCTCCTGGTCACTGAGCATCAGCTGACATCTGATGCAAATTACAATATGGTGTTTCCTTTTTCTACCATCAATACAGCACGGGGTAGAGATTCCCCTAGAAAGCAGACATGATCAATGCAGTGTATCAGACAGTAGGGAAATGTCTCCAGAAGGGAAATGATTCTGGAAGTGAGCAGTGGGCTGCTGAGTGTGATGTACACACAGGATTCCAAGACTTCTCTCTACTTCATGCTATAAACCACATTTCTGCTTTATCACCCACCAAAAAGAACAAGAAAAAAACAAGTCATGAAAACACTGTCAGGTTTATCTACAATTCTTCCTTACATTCTTACAAATATGAAAATTTGAAGTTACGATCTTTTTAAGATGACAGTTTGCAGGCTTTGTGCTTTTTCAACATGATAGTCATTCCATAATGAAAAATAATGCTATGTAGTTATTAGTCATTTCCTGGATTCAGGGTGCATGGTCAGTAGTTAACATAGCAACTCTACCATGGCAACATACTCTCCTTGTCTGAAGAGAAACTGAAGTTAAGAGAGATACATGGCTGGGAGGTGATGGCACAAATCTTTAATCCCAGCACTTAGGAGGCAGTCTCTGTGAGCTGGAGGTCAGTCTGGTCGATCTACAGAGATAGTTTCAGGATAGCCAGAGCTACACACAGAGAAACTGTGTCTCAAAAATTGAGGGAGACTGGTGGGGGAGATAGCCTATGTAGAGACACAAGGTTTGGGGAAGTAAAATCTGCATATTGCTTGGAAAGTATGTGCGTATTTGAAAGGTCAGCAAGGGCATTTCTCTTGTAGTACTTGCCAAAAGGATGTACAGGGGGTTTTCTAGAAATCTCAGCCAGGAGGTGGTTTCCCCTGGCAACTCCCATAACACTGGTTCTGACATCAAAGGGTTTATTCAGAACATGGTAGAAACGTGACAGCCTACTGTATTCAGTGAAAAACATCCAGTCTTGTATAAGAGAGTCTTTTCCTGCTCAGGCATTCAAGGGCTCTGTGAGTGACAGTCTAGTGCAATTGAAAGGTCTTGCCTAGGAGATGTTGTTTCTGATTCTGGTTTGGTAACAGCAGCTGTGGATTTCCTGACAACTCAAGCCTCTGATTTCCTTCATCTACAGATTAAGGAGAATGCTAGGGTGGCACACATACCCAAAAGGTTACTGTTAGCACACTGGATCTAGGCTGTTCAGATACTGTCCTATTTATATCTTAGGTTATTTAGTGTCTGCCATTTCCTATGACCATACAAACTGCATGATATCAGGTATGCAGTCTATATATTTCATGACTAACGTCCAAGAATATTGCTGTCAAACAGAAATGACCAAACATTGTTTTCAGAATGAATGATCTGTGTGTACTGTATAGCATTTAAAGGTAGTGACTGCTGGCTGTTAGCATTGGTTTAGGGCAAGATAAATGGCTTTTTAATTAGATATTGGCTTTTCAAGAATAGTAATGGTATCATTGTGCACGTGAATTCAGACAGGCAACACTCAAGTTCAAACCACGATTCTGTTCCAGTTTTTGGTTCTTTCCCTAGAAATTGTTGCCAGGGTTTTACCCCCTCCAGTGACATCTGATATCAGCATTTAAATCACATGAAATGAAGATGGTGAGGCTTCATTTCTTGTTTCTAATTTTTGTAACCTCCATGAGGGTTTCTTGGTTTTGCTGATTATTCTGCAACTTCCAGGTTCTCTCCAGATGTGAGCAAAATTGCTTACTTGGTTGAGGGGCGTGGACTTACTTGATGAAGTACTTGATTCCGTCTGCTGTGTAAGCTTCCTCCCACCCGTAAGGTAAGCCTGGAGTGAAAGGAAACCAAAAATACACCTAATAAGATGAGGAAGAGAACTTTATTTTCTGGACACAAACCTCCCCCATGTTGACAATTATCCGAGTGCATTTCTTGCACAAAATTATTTTCTTGAAAGGCAGAATTAAGACAATTCAGATAAGCGCTGCTTCTCAGCATCTTTACAACGAAATAAATAAAGGCTCAAACAGTTAACAATCTGCTTTAGTTGCAATAACCGGATTATGACTTATCATTTACATGTGGTGAACGTTTTTGTCAGCAGGATTCATCCACAAATTTGTGTTTGCAGCGGACGGCTTTTGCCTGGAGTCAGGAGGATGGACAAGATGGCCTGTGCTTGTCTATTCTGGCTCAAAGTTTCTTTAATTGGCTCCCTTTGCATGCTTTCACTCAGCTCCACAGGGAGTCGGGCATGAGTGCCAGATCAGCAGGGGTTGGAAAGTAGCTTTTGGACAAGACAAGATTCCTTATTAAGTTGGAAAGTTTAGCAAAGTGATTTACAATGGATGGTGGCATTTTACTTTGTTAATTAAGAATTTTGTGCACTAAACACAAAAGGCCAAACAATTTGCTAAACTTAGCTTCCATTTCTGTAATGGGATAGAGAATAGTTAACTAAAAAGAGATATGGAATGAAGTAAGCAGGCAACATAGGGGCATCTCCTATGTAGGAGTTCTGCTCTCTCTCTCTCCGTATTTATTATCCATTTATTGAGGTTTCAACCCACAGCTTATGCATATACTTGTAAGCGCTCTACTATTGAGTTATCACTTCTTCTTTTTAAAGACAAGGTTGGACTAGACTGGCCTTAAACATGAGATTCTTCTACCACACTCTCCTAACTAGTTGAAATCATAGGTCTGTATCAGAGGGCTGGGCTGCCATATTTTCTTACACTCAGATTGTGGGTGGCATCTCTTTAGACTGCAATGGTTCCTACCCATTCTGTTCTATCACTCGACTGTATCTTATATGTTGCTAAGAAATTTTCAATAAGTTCTATGACGCTAGGTTATCACAGCTCTTTTGATATGTGCAAGATACATTAACACACTGAAAAAAAGGTTGCATTGCTCAGATAGCCTAGTGTTGTGGAATGTACTAAGTTAACAATAAATACTTGACTTTTATTCCTCAAAATATCAGCAAAGGGGAGAGTAAACATGTCAGGAAAACTTAATATGGATGAAATAAGACTTGCCCTCATTACCATTTAATTCTTAGAGAATATACTTCTTTGAGAAGAAGCTATTATTCTTTGTGTGTGTGTGTGTGTGTGTGTGTGTGTGTGTGTGTGTTTAAGAAAATCAACAAAAGATTTTATTTTGATTCCATTCTATAGGCAAATTTTATAGTTATCTCTCCCACACATCAACAGGCTATCTTGGGGTCTCTACCCTCTCTTCATAAATGTATGTTCCTACTTTTAGTAATAGTCAGAGCTTCTGAGAACTCATTATAGGCAAAGCTCTGGAAATGACATCCTGTGACACAGGAAGTGACACCCTGTGCATGAGTTCTTTCATGTCCACTGCTCATCCATGATACAATATTGCTGCCCTACAAGACTGAGTTGATTTATTTTCTGCCTTTACAATTTCTGCATATTTTTTAATAACAGCTAATTTCATCTGACAGTGATGAGCCCTTTACCTACAGGAAAGCATGATGACTGTAAGGACCTTGCCTACATGACAGAAACACTCTGATTAGCTTTTGGGTAAAATAGCAAAGTCTGGGAAAGTGGAGAGCTGTTGTAATGTGACTAAGGTTTTCGTTTGCTAGGTGAATTGTTCGATTGGCACAATTCCATGTGTTCTCCCAATTCTTCAAGTCACAGGCATTTTTTAATGAAGTAGAAGAAAGAGGTACACTTTAATGATAGTCCTTTTTATTAAAGAGTCTTAGACTTTATCATTGTGTGTGTGTGCAAGATGCATGTGTGGGGGGGCTTGCACACACAGCACATGTTGGGGGTCAGAGGCCATTTTGTGGAATTATCTCCTTCCACCTTTATGTGGGTTCTCGAGGCTGAACTCAGGCTTTTAAACTTGCATGGGAAACTCTTATCCTACATTCTCAGCCCCAACATGGTATCTTTTGAGATCAATTTAAAACTGAGTTGGCCGAGAATTCATTTTCTCAGCCCTAAAGAAGACATTTATACCACCCCATCAAGACTCAAGGAATATTGGAGAAGGGGGGTAGAAACAATGTAAGAGCTGGAAGGTAGGGAGAGAAACAACAGAGAGTCTTTTTCTGGGAAAGACATAATTAGTACAACAAGAAACTCATGGCAGCTGTGGATACTTACACTGGGTCTGCATGAAAAGGTCCATCCACAGTCAGATGGAGGAGGGGCTGGGGAATCCTACCCTTCATTGTTGAGCTATTTGCTAAAGGTGGTCAGTGGGGGAGGACATTGCCTTCTGTTGTATACCCACTGATGACTCCATCTGCTTCTAGTGGATAATTTGAATTCAGTGATAATAAGATGACCCTAGTTAAACAAAGGTCATGATTATAAGAAAGGGACTCTAGGGAATGGGGAGGGGTACTGATAATTTAAGAGGAAAACAGTGAGATAGTGTGGGGAGAGAGAAACCAGAATTCAGTATATACATGTATGGAATTGTCACATAACAGAACCAATAAAAGTAAAACTGATAAATTCTCTGCCCCGAAAAAAAAGTAAGAGCTTATGTTTCAGAAGATCAAAGTTTCTTATTTTTTTTATAGACTTAACATTAGCTGGAAACAGAAGTGGAGACTAAGCTGACAGTGATTAATCTCCCTGTGATATCTCAGTAATAGAGACACAATCACTGTCTAATTTAAAGACAGACATGCAAATAGCCTACTTCATATAAAAGAGCTCTTTTGGTATTCACAAGCATATATGATTATGATATACTTGGTTTTCCAATGGTAATGATTTTATTTCTTCACAATGATGATTTGGAAGTAATTATAACAGAATATAAATACTTTGAAATAATCATTATTGCTACAAATGAGGAAATAGTTGTATAGTTTCAAAATCTTTACATATTTGTAAATATAGAATGCTTCTAATTTTTCCTTTTCATATTTTTTAAAAAAAAACATTATTGACAACTCAAAGCACCTGCAATTGTTTCTGATTGAAAGTGTTTGTCTCTGAGTTCTCACATAACATTCTTTCCCCAGAGATCATCTGTTTCTAATCAAAAACTTCATGGTGATGACTCCAAATCTGCCTGAGTATCTTGCCAGAGTGAAAGTCTGGAACATATTGAACTTAAAATCCTGGCTGTCACCTAAGACTCAACATATCCAAATTCAAACTCATCATGTTTCCACACAAGATGATTTCTTTTCTGTTTCCCCAGTCTATTCATCACCACACACTCTCTTTGTTATGTCTGCCCCAAGTACCAATTTATCAAACATTTATTCATTATCATGTATTCAGACTTTTGCTCTGGTGTTCAATATATAATGATGAAAAACACAATGGACCTTGATCTCAGAGAGCTTTAAGATAAGGACGGGGATATAGTTCAGTCAGTAGAGTGTTTGCCTAGCACCCACAAACCCTGGCTCTGATCACCATCACTGCACAAATGGGGACTGGGTGTGGTGGTGCACACCTGTAAATCCCAACACTGGGGAGAAAGACACAAGAGAAACAGGAGTTCAAAGTCATGCATGGCAGCAAAGCGAGTTTGAAGAGCCAGCCTGTATGAGACCATGTCTCAAATATAAACAAAAATCCTCTCAAAACAGAAAAGTCACAAAACCCAAACACCCCCTCCCCAGTCAAAAACAAGCACATTAACAAATATAAGTTCAAGTAGCATGAAAAGCACAGGGTAGTGTGAGAGAGTAGCTCAGCATACACAGACCATGCTCAGGCATAGAGGAAGAACTGCAAGCCAGTGAGAAAAGGTCAGCAGGGGTCTCCAAGAGGCTGCAGCTGCAAGCTCAGACCTTGGGAAGAACACTCACTCTAGGAAGCTGGAAGCTGGCCATGAGGCCTTGAGGTGACAGGCTGGCACTCTGAGAACTGAGGGAACCGCTTCCCTCCACACAAGTAAAAAAGATGCTGCTGGAAACATTATTCCACAGATTTGCAGGCTGCAGAGGGATTGGTACCCTTCCTTCCTTTCTCCTCCCGTCTCCCCCCCTTTCCTTTCGAGACAGGGTTTCATAGCCTCAGCTATGCAGAGAAGATGACCTTGTACTGGCAGTTTCCTAACAAGAGATCTGCTTCCATTGAGGATGAAGAAGCTGCAAGGATAAGCTGCTTCATTATACTTGGGAAAAGGACACACAATCAAAAAAAAAAAAAAAAAAAAAAAAAAAGAAAAAGAAAAAGAAAAGAAATACACAGAGCCCAAGTGTTTTGTTTTGTTTTGTTTTTATCTGACTGAATTCAAGGAAAGCAAGCCCTGTGAGAAGAGAAGGTGCACACACTCTTTCTTGGCAGAGCACAGAAGAAGAAGTACTGCCAGAAACACAGCCAAGAAAGCAACGGACACTAACCCATTTTAAAGTGTGATGTGATGATCATGGACCATTGCAAGTTAGCATTTCTGGGAGCCCTAAATGCAAGCACAACTGTTTCTTCCTGAAATAGCTCTTGACCCCAAGACTTGACAGGGATGCTGTACCCATGGCATCTCAAAAACAAGACCTGCACAATGATAACACCAGTTGACATGGCAATGTGGGTGGTGGGGATTTCACAAGGCGGAATCTTAGATGAAGAGCTACAGCCAACAGTGTGCGAGCTACCTTTACCTGTGGGTATAAGAGTATGAATTTAGAATACAGCAATGCTCCTGTTTGTTTGTATATACCACGTAGAAGGTGGTGATTTTCATGTGTTGAGGCTTGGAATCCTGTTAAATGGTGTGGCGTAAAGAAAGAAGGCCAAGTGAGCTTAGGGGACTGTGAGGAAGACTGGAATAATGGACCGTAGCCTTTAAATGGAGAGAGAA